GAACAATTTCGCACCGCCGCGAAGGAACAGTGGAACACAACGGGTTGAAAATGGTGCCACTGAAGTGTTGAGTGTTGAGCTTGCATCAATGCAAGCAAGTGAGGCAGGAGCTTGCAGAAGATTGAGTTGGATCGCATTCTCCAAGAACAGCTCGCTTAGGACACCTCAATGTCCACTGCCACTGCCATTGAAGGCATCTGCCCGCATCGTTGCGCCTGGCTATAGAGACCTCGCCAATTTGAGAAATTAGTTTCGTCGCGAGGCTCCCACAGGTTCTCGCCCAGTTCAGCATCTCTGGTTTTGCATTGCGCACACCCGCATTGGGCCTTGAAAAGTGCTAATGTTCGCGAAACCTTTTCAAGGGAGACCCCTACGGCAAGAGAGTCTTCCACATCACGGCGGCCAATGCCACTCGTGGCCCTTCGATCCCCATTCCTCATGGTGGATGTTGAGGAGATTGCTGATGGTCAGGATTGCGGAAAGGAAACAAAAGCCCTAGTTGGCGTTATCGTGGGACATTCGGTCGCGGGAGATGATTTTCACTGGTGTGGAAAGCACATCAGGCGTGACGAGTGGCGTGAGCCAGACACCAAGGAGATTGTGGTGAACATGGAAACATACCATGGTCAGACGAAGGCCTTGATCATTGCTTGTGAGAAGCGCTTGGCCTTGGATGAACCGCTATCCAGTCAGGATGTCAGGAACAAGGGCATCCTGGGTTCACTACGGCGGATGGTGGCCCAGGTCAGATCACGAAAGCTAGCACCAGCTAGCTGGAGTTGTCCTTGCTTTACCAAGTGAGGGGCTGGAATCCTCGGGATCGCCGCATCACGTGAAAACATGTGAAAACTTCATATGTAGGGGGGCCCCCCCCCCCCCCCCCCCCCCCCCGCCGTGGGTTCAACTCCCCCCTCGGACGCCTCTGGGACACCTCTCGGGCATCTCTTATGGCATCCACTTTGGCTTAACTCCTCCGGGATATGGTGCAACAAGATTCAACAAGCTCACATGTTCATGACATCGACATCGATAGTGTGAGTTTTCAGTCGGATGGCCTGAACCCGATCGTCGTTCGCATGACCGCAGTGCACTGGGCCGAATCTCGCGTTGAAAAGGGCGTCCGTTCGTTTTGCTGCCATGGCATGTTTTTCTTTGGTTACACCTGGTGTTTGAGCACACACCTTGGTGAGTTGGCACCGGAGCTTGGGTGTCGATGACGTTTCATCTGCCGGATTCCGATCCTTCCGTCGAGTACCATTGGGATGATGATGATCTCCGGGAGTTCGATCTGTTCGGTCGGGATGGTCAAAGCAGTTGCTACTCCGAACCTCCCGTTGAGCGTGTCTTGCATTCGATGTCGGAGCACCGTGCGGATGTTGACGTTGACCGATCCAGGGATTCGTTGAAGTGGCGTTGCTATCAATGTGGCTCCTCCAATAGTTGTTGGAACACCTCCCTTCAAGCATGGACCTGCGTGCAGTGCAAGAGTACAGATTTCTATGATGTTACTCAACCACGACGCCATGAAACCTCTGAAGGATGTTGGATGTATGTTCCAAGCTTGGGGTCAGAGCAGAGACAGTCACCAGTTGCCCCGAACCCTCCACCACCGGGCGGTGATCAGCCAGGAGATGATGAGTGGCCTGAAAGCGAACGCCGAACCACAGATCCATTGGTTGATCCTGATACCATGTCTATGCAGGCTGGTCGGAGAAGGCGGAGACGCGGGCGCGGTGGCGTCCAACCGGAGGCCGATAGGCCAGGTGAGCAGATGCAGCAACAGCCACCTACACGACAGAGCAATGTTCAGTCGCCTGCACGACAAAGCAATGTTGACAGACCTACAGGGTTCACAGCTGGACAACAGAACCGCATCATTGATCTTTTGTCACAGTTGGTAGCAAATCAAACCAAGACAGATTCCAGTCAGACATCGTGGAACTCTCAGCGTGGTCCTCAACGCGGAGTTCGCTGGCGTGGCGGTACCCCTCCGTCACCTCCACAGGGGAGGAATTCTGCTGACCTGCGAGCGTTCGCTCGTTGGGAGCGCAAGGTCGAGGTTTGGGCATTGCAAGTCAAGGCATTCATGCCACCATCAGATGCGGCGCTGATGCTGTTCACCTCCCTTACGGGGGAGGCAGAATTGGAGACCGAGCACCTCGACCTCAGCAAAGTGAATTCAGCTGACGGGATACAGTATTTGGTTGATACATTGCGTGAACCTTTGCAACAGAAGTTGTTGTTTCAGAAGAGGAAACTGTTGTCGGACTATGAACACATAGCCCGATTCCAGAACGAATCTGTCCGCCAGTTCGCCAATCGATATGTCAGAATCGAGAAGGACCTGTCCGCCATCGGCATTAGTACAGCAGCAATGTACGATTCTGAATCTCGAGGCAACCGCCTTTTGGAGCGCTGCCGGCTGACGCCAGATCTGCAACGCTTGGTCCTCATTGGTGCTGGCAACAGCCTGGAATTCGAGAAGGTCAGAGAATCACTCAATTTCCAGTTTCCAGATTTCAGACCAAGTCCACCACTTGCAGGTTCCAGTCAGACTACATCCAAAGGTGGACACACACCTTACAAAGGCGGCAAAGGCGGCAAGGGACAGTATGCATTGACTTCCAATCCCTCGAACTTTTCACAGTCCTCATCACCCACCACGGCCTCCTCCTCGACTTCGTATCGGCCCTCGTCCAAAGGACAATACCCGAGACGGGTATATCAGACTGATCAGGTCGATGAGATGGATCAGATTCCTGAGGAATCTTATGATCCGGAGCCGTCAGCAGAGCCCGAGTTTTTGGACGCTGCTGAAGAGTTCGAGCCAGAAGACGACCCAGAAGCGCCAGATCAAGAGCCGGATGATGATCCGGCCGAAGATGACAGTCAGGAGTTGCAGAACTTGGCCTCTGTTCTTACAGTGACTTCCAAGAAGTTGCAATCCACGGTACTGGGCAGAAAGTTCACCGGAAGACCCAGGACCATAGAAGAGAGGAAGCGTACAAGCACATGCACCGCTTGTGGTATGCTTGGACATTGGGCTGGAGATGCAGTTTGCAGTATGTCCAACAAGGACAAGCCATCGACCTCCAAAGGAGCTGGCAAGTTCGGAAAAGATGGCAAAGGAGGGAAAGGTTCAGTCAAGAAGGCGTTTGTGGTGCACGTCCCAGGGGAGACCGATCCTGATCCACCACCAGAACCGGGGACTTCATCGGGAACACCATCGACCTTGGGGAATCCATCCACATATTTTACCTTCATGGCTGCACATGTGATAGAACAAGAGCCCTTTCAGACATACGTCACAGAGATCATCAGCCTCGCTGGTTACATGATTGTTGATACAGCCTGCCAACGTTCCTGCTGTAGCTCCAAATGGTTGATGTTCACTCCAAGATCCTCGCCAACCACGGTTTCAAGCCCCACATTGTCAACGTCGCTGATGATTTCCAGTTTGGCTCAGGTGGAATCCATCGTGCATCCACGAGAGCCTACCTGCCTGCGATGTTGCCAGGCCAGAGAACCCAAGGGTTGGTGTTGGGCGTGAGTGTTTTGGAGAATGCACGCATCCCTTTTCTTGCAAGTAACACGTTGTTGGAAAAACTTGGTTGCATTGTTGACACGGTTCATCAAAGGCTTCGTTTTGTGTACATTGGAGTTGATGTTCCACTAGTTCGCATGTATGGCCACTATGTTGTCAGTATTGTGCATTTCACCACGGCTGCTTGCAAGTCACATGTTTGGAAACAGTTGTCAACAGATGAGCTTTGGACCGCACCTGATCCAGAAGTTGTTTTTGCAGCTCCTCTCAACACAGCTCTCGAGTCCGATTGCCCGTATCCCAGCCGGATCCATGCACACCAACGTGCCACCGGAATGGCTGATCTCATGGAGGAATTTGGTGAAACGGGTGATGTCACTTTTCCTCCGGACCTTGCGCAGCATGTCACGGATGATCGGCATGGGCATGGCACCGAGAGCATGGCTCACGATGTTGGAGCAGCACATCATTGCCCAGGAAGATCAGAGCACAAGGGCACTCCGTTCCCGACCTCTACCAGCACTGTGTTCCCATCCGGAGTTTCGCCGCTACGGCAATCGAACCGGAAGGTACAGCCAGTGCCTCCAGTGCTTCCAGAAGTTCAAGTTCAACGACGAGGAACAGGGATGGGATCTGTTTGGAGGACCATCCTCACAGCCCTCATCACCGTTGCCGCTGCCATCTCCTTCCAATATCCTGTCGACGGACAAGACCAAGGGCAAGGCCAAGGGTGCTACACCCAAAATGAAGTCCAAAGCCAAGCCCAAGTCGAAGACCGCATCGCACAGGAGTTCCAAAAGCTCCAGCTCAATGACATCGGAGACTCGGCCAGCCGGCCCATGGGAGGACGCAGGATTGAGTCGTCAGGATTGGGACGACATGATGCAGTGCGCACCAGTCGCGATCAACTCCGACAACTCGGATCCGTACGGGGACGAGGAGGACTACAACTGGAAGAACGTATGAGTGACTACTGGGAAATCAGCCCAGGCGCATGCATTCGGCACCACGTTCAGCCTCGGTGCCAGTTGTTCCAGCCCTATGACAGTCATTGCCCCGTGGCTCCACACAGACTCCGGCACGTTTGTCAAGCCGAGAAGGAGTTTGACGACGGAAGAACTGAGGTGGTGCACTATAACTGGACAGTTGGGTCCAGGAAGCAGTCCTCAGAACTATGGACAGGCCGCACTGTTTTTGAGTTCAAAGAGACCAAGCAGTTGAGTTTGACCAATGCCACCAAGCGAGGCTTGCTCCAGAGGCTTCGCCATTCCACACATCTCCACAGCGTGGAACAGGTCTTGATGACCGGCCTCAAACCTCGGTCCAAGATCTCCAGAGTCGATTTGCTAGAGACGTTTGCTGGCACAGGCAATGTCAGTAAGCTGGCATCCAAGTGGGGACTCAAGACCCTGCTCCCGTTGGACTACAACACCGGCTATGACCTCTCCAGGCCAAAATGCACCAGAAGGAAGTCGACCAGCTTCTCGAGTTGCATCGTCCACTACTACTTCTCAATGAGGTTGATTGCACTCCCTGGACCATACTCCAGGACAACACGAACTACGTCAACGGGCCTGAAGAGTTGGCCGCTTGGCGCACACAGGTCCGTCCCATGATCGAGAAGATGGTTCGCTGGTGTGAGAAGCAGGACGAAGAAGGCCGATACTGGTTGATTGAAAATCCAGAAAGAAGTCGATTATGGCAGGAAGCAGCTCTTTCACGACTTCTTCAACGACCTTCCTCACAGATTGTCACTTGCCATGCAGGCGCCTATGGAGCGCTCAACTCCAAAGGCGCGATGATCCGCAAGGGCCACAACTTTGCAGGCAATTGTCCACTTGTATTAGCACATCTTCAGAAGAAGCTGTCTCAAGAGCAACAACGACTGTGTACTCCCCTCGAAGGCCGCGAGACGAGCCTGAGCCAGGAGTACTGCCCAGGCCTTGTACGGGCCATCGTCACTGGGCTACTTGATACAGCACAACACCATGACCCAAACCGTTTCCACACTGCCTCCAAAACCTTCTCTACATATGCAGTCGACCGATTCCAAGTGAATGATGATCTTGACAGTTGGCAACCCATTCTCGACATGGTCGAACGACTGTTCAAGCACACCACACAGAGGACCTTGTTGCTGCCACATTCAGATCCCGTGTGCCAGGAAGTTAAGAAGCTCGTTCCCTGGCACAGCATCGAGAGGATCCAAGTGGCTATTCAGCCAACATTGCACCGTTTTCCAGCGCACATCCCACATACACATCGGGGTTCAGCACTACTCTACAACGATGGCACCATAGAGATAGTGACCGAAGACCTTGCCGAACTGAGGTTTCCAAAAGGCCGATTTCAAAAACCAGTTAACATTGGCATTTTCTGGTTTGGCCTGGCATTACCTATCGAACAACAAGCTCAGCCATCGGTGGAAGTTCAACCACCGGTAGAACCTCCACCACCACCAGACACAGTGGATGACAACCCATTGCACCGGGTTGGCATGGATGAAATGGACATTTCCTTTCCACACGACAGGAAGTACGACCAAAGCACCAAGACGGTGGTATCACGCCTCCACCGTAACCTTGGCCATCCACCGGCCACCGAGCTCAAGAAACTTTTGGCGATGAATGGCATCAAGAACCAAACCATTTTGGCAGCCGTGGACGACATGACTTGTGCATCATGCCAACGCGCAAGGATGCCTACCAGACCTTCACCAGCTGCCATTCCAGACACAGGCTTGCGGCAGTTCGCCGATTCCATTCAGCTCGACATCGTGTACATCAGAGACATCGCTGGAAGCAACTTCCCTGTCCTGGGGGTGATTGATGAATGCACCCTCCTTCACCAAGCCGCAGTGTTGGACAGCCGGTTGCCCAGTGAAGTGCTCAAGAAGTTCATCAGGATTTGGGCACAGCCTTTTGGCTATCCCCTCATCGCACGGCTGGACCCAGATGGCAGTTTCCGTGGTGAATTCGAAGAGTTCATGGACACCACCGGAACACAGACTGACTTCATACCTCCTGAAGCACATCATCGACTCGGCTTGATCGAAAGACACAATGCCACACTTCGTGACATAGCCGAAAGAATCATAGACTCCAATGCCATCACAGGTCCAGAACAGATGGAGCTCGCCATTACCAACACGGTCTTCTCCAAGAACGCTTGCACTTGGAGCACAGGCAGACCACCCTTCATAGCAGCATTTGGCAGAATTCCACGGCACGGAGGGCTTGACCTGCTCTCTGATGACCACAGCCTGACCACAGGCGGTACACAACAACACATGCACCAACTGGCCGATGTCTTACGGTCAGAGGCACAACAACACATAGCAGCTATGAAGATCGATGGAACTTTCCGGCGGGCACTTCTACGCAAAACACACCCACAACCACAGCAGCAGCTGACAGTGGGAGAGACAATCGCCTACTGGCGATGGACCACCCGAAGCCAGAAGAAGAGAGGTGGATACAAGCTGGCTAGACTTCTTGGTCTTGACCCTGACGGGAAGTCTCTGTGGGTCCAGTCAGGGACCAACACAGTGAAAATAGCCAGAGAACAAGCAAGACAGGCCTACGGCGAAGCTTGGAACCCAGATCCCACCGATCTCCGAGCTCTTCGTTCAGCCTCCGAGAACATCAGAAGTGGGTTGTTCGAGGACGAAACCCTGCCAGTGGCCGATGACCCCGACCAGCCACTTGGCAACGATGACCATTTGAGGGAAACCGAACCTGACGTAGTACTACCGCTTTACACACCAACACCACCTCCGCAACTTCAAGTCGTACCTCATACACCACTTCCACCAGAACCACAACAACCACAGTTACCTCCTCAAATCACCATGTCACAGGCACAGCAACAACAAAACAACATGCAGAACATCACCATCGAGGTTTCATCACCCACCTACAACCAGCAGACCATACAGCTACAGCATGCTGATCATACCTTCGGCATGACATCAGAGCAGCTGAGACGGCCAGCTGTTCGCACACCTGTACGCAGGCCACACAGGTCTAGGACACCAAGCAGAGCCGCACCACCGCTTGGTGACACGGCACCGCATGAGCAAGCAAGATTAACAACAGCTGGAACTGTGACACCACCACTTCCAGTACCAGCAATTGACACATCACAGGTACCGATTCCGGTATCAGATGACGAACCCGACAACCTCGGCACACAAGTTCCTCAGACACCCGAGGAACTACGACAACCAGCAAGCATACCAGCGACAGCTGCAGGCTCTACATCCAGCCGCATGCTTCCAGCCAAACGGCCAGGCTCACCACTGCCTGACACACACCGCACACGGGAGCTGGAAGGACACACATCGGCAGCAAGCACCTCCAGACACACAACAGAGCAGCGGCACGCTGAGGAGAAACCGCACTCCTCGCTTGCAACAGTGCACACAGCACAGGGCAATCCACATTGCCAACCGACTGCTAACACGGTGGTCAGAGTTCAGCAATACAGCCCAGAGCATTGCAAGTTTCACCGCACAGCTCAGCAAGCACCAATGAATGCCTCCGACGAGGGCATTACATTGATCGACAAACACTTTGACGGCACCACGGACATCTACATGCCATACCCACACACAGCCTGTTTCCAGGCTTACAAAGCCAGTGCCTCATACACAGGCGATGGCGTGAGCGATGACACCGATGCTTCCCAGGACAACATGTCCACCTCCGTGACGCCAGGTCAACCACTTACACGACAACAGCAAAAGGCCCTAGACAAGGAGCTGCCCTGGCGTGTCATAGTTGACAAAGGTGGCGACTACTTGGCAGCATTCATCCAAGCTGCCAGATGAAGAACGATCCTGGATGACCTTTGATTCCGTAGAGGCCGTCGAGGACAATGAAGCAAAGAAGATCATGGAGTCTCCAAAAGGTCGAAAGAGGATCTTGAAATCCCGAGCGGCCTATCGGGACAAAGCCAAGGGCGCTGGCCCGCTCAGAGCAAAGGCTAGAGTTGTAGCCCTGGGTTGCCTAGACCCTGACCTGTTCAGCTTGAACAGAGAGTCGGCCACACCAACACGACAGTCCGAGATGTTGGTGTATGCAATATACATTGCAGGCCGCAATGGCAAGATGAACAGAGATGGAGCAACCTGGCATCTCTGGTGCGGAGATGTGAAGACTGCCTTTCTCCAGGGGCAGCCTGAGCCTCGTGAAGAACCTCTGTACCTTGCTCCGCCTAGAGATCAGATCAGCATCCTGGCCAAGGTTTTCCCCGCTTCCTTGTACTTGGTGAAAGGGAACATCTACGGGCTAGCTTCCGCTCCTCGTACATGGACCATGCATGTTTGCAGGTGCCTCAAACAGAGCGGTTGGGATCAACACAGCCTGGACAAGATGTTTTTCAGTTTGTATCGAAAAGTCAAGGGCTTCGATTCAGAGATCCTTATTGCAGTTGCAGTGGTTTACGTTGATGATTTTCTTGTCAGCTATAGTGACCACTTCAACAAAGACGAGCTTCTTAGCATGTTCAGTTGGGGAAGTCAGTCAACATTGACCCCTGAGACACCGCTGGACTTCAAGGGAAAGGAGATCCATTTGCGCTACGACAATGAACGACAGTTCTTTGCATTGGATCTCAAACAAGAGAAGTTCATCAAGGCTTTTCGAAGCGGCTGCATCAAGCGCAAGAAGACCGAGAGTCTTCGACCTTAGGATTTTCCTGAGTACAGGTCGGTTGCAGGCAGTTTGCAATGGGTAGCTGGTCAGACAAGACCAGACGTCGCTGCTACAGTGAGCTTGCATTCGAAGGGAAGCAAGGCAACATATGCCAATTTGGCATCAATGTATGACGCTGTAGAGCATCTGAGACGCACCAGCGATAAAGGCTTCACGATGAACCCCACAGCCATTGACGACTCAACCCTGGTCGTCACATACGCTGACTCTTCGTGGGCGAACGCTGAGAACTATGCATCACAGCATGGATGCCTCATCATGCTGACAGATGCCCGCGCTACAGATGTTGCGACGCATGCCTGTTTGATAGACTGGAAATCCAGCCGCTCCGGTCGGATTTGCCGGAGTACTCTCGCCGCCGAGGCTAGCGCAGCTGACTCCTCGGTTGACAGATCCAGTTTTTGCAATTTGATGTTGTCAGAGCTTTTGCAGCGGACACCTTCGTTCAGGATCACCACCCCGCTGAGGATGCTCCAGATAACAGATTGCAAGTCATTGTATGACTCACTGGTGGCTGAAAACCCGTCTGTTGATGACAAAAGGACAGTCATTTCTGTGAGAAGCATTCAGCAATACATCACCCGTGAGAACACGCATTGGGTGCCAACACAATTGATGTGGAGCGATGGACTCACTAAGGATTCAACAAAGCTGATGTCTCTACTACATCACTGGCTCCATCATCCATACGTGCTTCTCCGGGATTCAGGCCAAAGAGATACTCGAGTGTGAGTTTTCAGTCGGATGGCCTGAACCCGATCGTCGTTCGCATGACCGCAGTGCACTGGGCCGAATCTCGCGTTGAAAAGGGCGTCCGTTCGTCTTGCTGCCATGGCATGTTTTTCTTTGGTTACACCTGGTGTTTGAGCACACACCTTGGTGAGAGATAGAAGAAACCAAACAAATCATGCAAGCGGCTTTGTTTTGCCTCTGGGACACCTCTTGGGCACCTCTTATGGCATCCACACTGGTTCAACTCCTCCGTGGAGGTTTTGGGATACGGTGCAACAGATTCAACAAGCTCACAGGTTCGTGAACACATCGGATGCATCGAACAGTGTGGCAAAGTCCAGCCACGCTTCCTTAATTGTGGGTGTGGAGGAGGGCACGGATGCAGCAAAGCTGGCCAGGGGTTTTGTTGCAGAAAGCCGAGGACTTCACGTCACAGACGCAAAAGGTTGCTACGCTCGCATTTCCAGCAATACTGGCTTTGGCTCCCAGAAGAGGCTGATGTTTTCGATAGCGTTGGACTGCAGCGTCGAATGGATGGTAAGCGCCTCAGGCAGACTTTGCTTCGGGGTGAATGGGCTGTCAAGAGAGCGATTTCCAGTTGATGCAACTTGCGCACCATCACTTCTTCCTTGCGCCTGGATGGCCTTGCGTGGAGGGCATCGGCATCTTGGTGGCCAAGAGCTTTCGAAACCCAGCTCACCGCTTTTCGATGCGCGGCAATCCACTGAGGACAACAGTGGCGGAATTCAAGTTTGGGAACCGTTTTGATTTTGGTGTGGGAAGTTTCAGGAAAGGAAAGGAAAGGCTGTAAGAAAGCCATGTGCGGAAATGTTGTGAAGAAACAGGTAGTTATTTTATTGCAAAAATTTTAGCCGGCAGGAGTCGTAGACATTGTTCTGATTCTAGGGGTGATATTCTTCAAGATTTGGGTTTCACATGGTTTCACTGGGTTACTCCCTTTGCACAATTGATTGTGCCAATTTGGGGGCAGGCTGGGCTTGAATAAAGGATTTCACAAAAGGCCGACGAACAAAAGGGCCAAAAAACACATGTAGCGGCTCATTCTATTAAAGAAAAAATTGTTGCGGTCAAAAATCGCGGACGTTATTCTAGGGGGTGGCATGGTTCAAGAATTCTCGTGTGCTGGGCTACCATTCTGCTACCATTTTTATGAGTAGATGTTGTTAAGGGTTCAATAGGAAATCAGTAGGAATCAAAGGTAATTTAGAAGAACGCCCATTGTCAATAGTTAATGGGAAATCAAAACAACTATATAATTCGTTATGTAAACAATTAGTTGACAATGAAAACCATAGACATTATTCTAGGAGGTGCTCTTATTGAAAATCCACACCAGGACAAAAATGTAGACCATTTTCTAGGGTAGTTATTATTGAACATGTAAAAGCGCCGACATTATTCAAGGATGCGTTTTGTTAAAGACCCAAAGAAATCTAAAGAACAGACATTATTGCCGGAAACGTTGGCCGGATATTATTACATCCCAACTGTGCAGACATAGAAAATAGAAATATCATGAAATAAGCGGAAGCAAACAAAGAAACAATATTAATAAAAGCGGACGGACATATTATATATTGAACAAAACAGTGCGGGCATTAATCTGGGAGGGGCAGTAAGTCAATCATCCACATTAATTGACGGGGATGTCAACTTCCTCTCCCGTCACACACCGCCCTTGCTGTAGTGGATGTAGCTGGATCACCTGTAGTGAGAACATCATCCACATGGAGCATGATCGTGTCCATCAAGATAGCACGGCCATTGATGGTCGGTCAGCGTGAAGCAAAATGGACCCAGGGCATGAACTTTCCAGTTTCGTGCGGCCAGCGTCCACAAGGCCGACCTGTACCACACCAATGGGGCAACGACCAATCCATGCGCCGATTTCGTCAACTTCAAGTAAAACCTTCAGGCCGGACTAAGCTGCAATCCTCGGGCAGCTTGGCTGTGGTCCTGTCCAAGCGACTGCCAGACAAGAAAACTGTTTTGACATCGGCACGCAGCAGCTTCCTCTTTGTGCTAAACGACGCGCAGCACGAACAGTGGGGCCGCCCGGTTTGTTGCAATTCGGCCACTTTGATGTTCAGCAGGTCCGAGTCCTGAACGCCTCGCAGCATTAGGCGGGTTTCGCCTTGTACAGTGGCGGCTCATCTTGGTTGTCCTCGTTGATTTTTTCCACATCAGCACCCATCGTGCAGTGATCGCTCTGTGTGTGTGTTTGCACTGCATCCTTGCTTTCCTGTGCGGTCGTGAGCTCCCAGACCAGTTGCAAGATGTTGCAAGACCACTTTCTGAAAGTATTGCTCTTGCATGTCTATGTCGCACACACACACACACACACCCACGCACGCACGCACGCACGCCGCACGCACGCACGCACGCACGCACGCACGCACGCACGCACGCACGCACGCACGCAAGCACGCACGCACGCACGCACGCACGCACGCACGCACACTCAGACACCCAATGGCGAACAATGTTCTTGCGGTTTTTGCATGGGCCTTAGCTCATCCCAACACAGTTTTGTCGGCACCTCGTTTCAGGACCAGCACCTTAAACGCAAAGAATTGAACATGAACACGCGCACCTTAACTTGTAACTTCATGGGTTGTGTTGCGGGCATCAACAAAAACGTTAAGCACAGCGCCCCGCCCCAAAGAACTCCAAACCGGCCGGTTGAGCGCAGAATGTTCAGAGGCTCGCATAAACCTCTTGAACCTGTCACCGCAGACCGTTTAGATTCTGCACGGTTGTGTTTGCAACGAGGAATGTGGTTGTGGATGTTGGTTGCATGTTGTACTTCGTATTTGGCCCAAACATCACATGCCAGAATCGTCATGCATGTTTATGCTAGTGATTTAACGGCTTGGTGTGGCAAGAGGTCACCTAAGTCCTAGGTCCTAAGTATTTAGAATCCAAACAATTTGTTTTTCACCGGATTTGCCCCCATGGTGATGACAATGGTGTCCCGGCTCTTAACGCTGCCGATTGTGCTTTCCCAGATCCGCATCCTGGTGGTTGCGCAGGAGACCTTGCAATGTCACGGTTGGTGTGCGCACTGCTTCTAACGTCACGGAAACAGTCCACATTGTTTTCCGACGCCTTTGTGTAGAGACAGTCCGCGCGGCTCGCGTTTGATTGAGGACATAACCCACATTGGCGGCAACTGTTCTAGTCACGCGCCCGGAAACTTAGAGGGGTGAGTCTGGCAGCCTTTTTTTGCCACATATGGTTGCAGTCAAGTTCGCTTGTCCTGGGGGTCAATGCAGGCCCGGATGTGATGACAAACTGGCTATGCTGCAATTGAAGGCAGGGTCTGCAGGGCAGGGTGTTTTGGTGATCAGTTGGAGGCACAAAAGTGGACCTTTGGAGGCAGATAGGTCCGGTCGAAGATGTTGATAGATTGTGGAGGTGCAGGGTAACAAACACAAAAGACAAGCAACCAAGCACATATGACAATATGAGCAATAGCCAAAACCTCCCTTGACATTCCATTAAGCATCTATGTCATATCAATCTGTGGCATAAGGAAAACATTGTGTTGCGCAAGGTTGCGTAAGCCCCATGTTGAACTCACTTGTTGCGTAGGGTTTGCGTAAGTACTGTTCTTACAAAAGCACGGAGTACAAAATGTATTGCTGCGTAAGCAAATCCTTTGGGGGAACCTTTCGGAATCATAATTGTGTCATGGCGTTTGCTTTGCGTAAGGCTATTGTTAGCCAAGGCCTCGCGTAAGCAAAAACTGTGGTTGCGTAAGTAACGCGCAAGCACCAGCGTAAGAACTTGATACGACATAACGACATAGAGGTTTAATCATACATATTGGCAATATTGGCCGAAACTAATATGAAATATATATATATAAATATATATATATATTCAAGCAGTGGATCAGAACACGGGCCATGTCATGCTACAGTAATTCATTCGTATGATTTCATGTCGTTCAAATTTCGATCAACCCTGGTCAGACTGCTGCGGATGCTTGTGACGATGCTGAACTTGCAGACTTGAAAGCTGGGACTTGCACTTCGAGCCAGGCTTGCACATGCACTGCTGGTTCCCTCGCCCAGACGATTGGATCTTTCAACAAGAACCTTCTCGAGTGCTCTGGGTATGATTCGTGCCGCAGTGCCGCACAACACCACAATGCCAACTTCTTCAAGTTCAAGGATCCTTCCAGCTACCTCGTGTGTAAAGGCTACCACTCTTGCAGAGAGTTCTGGAATGTGGAAAATGTCGGCGCCGCATGCTGCACCGCCAGTGATTCCTGCTATAATGGCGCCAAGATCCACTTGACCCAGGATGCATCAAGTCGTTGTATAAACGACATTTGCTGCTCTGCTTACCGGGCGTGCTCACAGTCCGAGTTCAAACATGTCCATAGTTTGTCCTGCTCTGGCAACCTTGCATGTCAGAGCCTCACAGTGGATGTGGAAAGAGACCCTTGCCAATGGCTTGTCAGACTTTCAGATGCTGTATCCCAATCGCACTTCGCCCCAAAAAAACTATTTGGACAATGTCATGAAACACTGCATTTAGCATCATTAACGTTGGAACCCTCACAGACAAACTGAGGATATTTATTGCCATGGTTTGCGAGCTTGCGAATACATGTCCAGCTCAATCACTTCAGGTGGAGCGCATTGCGTGACTTGCAGCGGTACGAGCGAAACGATCTGTGAACATGCCAAGTTCCACTTTACACAGGCTTCTAACATTTTGATGACCCTTAGCTGCTGTCCAAGCGGGATTTGGGTTATGCAGCTATGCATGGTTATGCAAGTGCTTGTGTACTTACAGTTTTCTCTATTACAAGAGTATTAGGTGAATAAGACAGCACGGCAGTTTTTGCATCGTTGGAGTGAGGACTTGCGATGGCCCATCAGCATGCTGGTCCACAGAAGTGAAGATTGCTACAGGTAGTTGCTTGCAGCTCGAGTGTGGATCCGGTGCCTGCCAGAGGATGAGCATCATTTTGGCAGGTGGGCGTGGCAATCTTTGCAACCGTTTATTGTTTCTCGAATTGACCCCTACCTACCCGATTCGAGAGGGGCGTCTATGGTTCAAACCAGTTCAATCCCCACTTTTTAAGATGAATGGAATGTGAGGGGATGAATGTGCAAGGGCTGTACTGTACTGGAAGGATGACCAGTGGAGTGAACAAAGTGTTGCTCAACCTGCTAGACAGCCCTGTGGTCAGAACAAAAAAGCGCAAGTGGTTGGAAGCAATGCAAGGGCATGCAAGTGTAGCAAATCTTTTTCAAGCAGCAGCCACACCGACATATATAAATTGCAGAACCGACAGTTCCTGAGGCGATGCCAAATGTTCTTGCGGCGGGCCGGATTGCCCACAAGGTTGCGCTCCAGATGCATGTAAGGTGACGGACAAGTGTGAAGATATTTGCTGTGCAGCTGACCCGTCCAACCCTGATTGTTCCAACTGCTGCCGCCCACCACCTTCTGGCCATTCAGATGGAGATCCACACATCCAAACACTTCATGGAGATGCGTACACTCTTTTGAGGCAAGGTACTTTCTTGGCATGGAGTTTCTCCAAGAACACCACCTTTCCTTCAAGCATGGGCCTAGTAAAGGCTCCTATGGAGTGGCAGCTCTTTGCGCGCTACTCTGGCAGTCAATTCTACACACGCGGACTGCTGCTGGTGGACAGGTCTCACACTTTTCAAGCCATGGAATTCACGTCAGAGGAGTGCACCTGGCGTTTCCGAGCAGGTGACAGCGAGGATTGGAGCAGTGTTGAGTCGGGCCTCCTTTTCCCGAGTGGAAAAGACCAGATAACGCAATTCAACGTGAGTAGTGCGCGTGAAGCAGTGGAGGGTGAGGCAATGGTTCAATCCAGAATCAACTTGGAGATGAACACCGAGCGCGGCATCCGGCAAGCCGCACAGCTTTACACTCAATGCAGGCCAGGCGAGTTTTTGAATTTCAAGCTCACCATGTACCAGAGGAATGACATCGGCTTCGCGGGAGGAGAGCTGGGACAAACCCCAGAAACTATGGCATCAAGTGAAGCTCAGACGCAGTTTTTGTCTTCCAAGTTCAAGATGATGAAAATGAGGACAGATACGGAGTTTGAGGCGCGCAAATGCAACCAACATACCAACATAGATTGATTTGTTATGATGTCCTTGGTGTTCAACTGACTCAATGACTTGGAAAATGTTTGTTTCAAGCAACCAGGATAGCCTAGTTGATGCTTTTAGGGCGACATTGCAACGCACTGGGAGGTTCAAAAGAATTGGATGGTTCTTGGGGGCAGCACAGTGGCGGATGCATATTTCAAGAGGGACGAGAACCATCAAGGCGAAGCTCATTTGGCCACGGCCACTTGTACTGACTCACAGGAACAGGAGGCGGTGAGGATTTGCACGAAGCACTTGCAGAAAGAGGACACGTTGGACTCAGAGGCAGGGTTAAAATGGGTTGACAGGCGATGGGGCTATGGATGTGCCAACCGAATTCATGCTGAGGTTTAAGCGTCACAGCGAGGGCCGGGGAATTTATTGTATCACCTAACCTGCGCGCAGGTCTTTGAGAATTGCGTCTTTGATGTTTGCCATGGGGGTGGAGAAGTTGTCGCTGAGCTTCTAGCCGGACTTAGCACCGCCTAGGGCCTTAGGGCCTTAGGGTGTGAAATTTTCAATGCGGGCGCTGAACTTGCGCCTCCTTGCTAAAAGCAACATGGTCTGAAACTTTTCAACTTGATGTCCCTTGACGAGCCTTCTACTCCGTCCGCATGTTGATTGATGAAACCCTTGTGCAATTTCGTTCTTCGTGCCAGCTGTAAGCCCCACATTTGACTTGTAAGTTTCTGTGGAATCGGAGCAGGAGAACGGAGAACTAGCTGAAAATTGCAGCTGCCCTGATTTGAGAAAAAGGATGAAAAAGGTAATTGCACTTTTCGCTCACAGTGCTGAGCCTGACACTTCTAGCATAGGAACATGTAGGAACGGCATTTTCAAATGTCCATCACCTACTCTGGCGTCAAACAACCTGAAGCGTCAAGTATCCGTCCGCCAGGCCAGGAATTGCGGTGCGTGTGCAGTTGAATATGTGGTTACAGTACGTGATGTTGTTTCTTGAGAGGGTTTGTGTGCATGTTTGTGCCTGATGGTCAGCCAGCTCTACACTTCACTCCGTTGTACTGTTAGTTGCTAGCCGCTGCTAGCCTATGCAAGGGAGCCCAACACGTCACAGCGACATGTCCGACAGAAAAGAAACAAGGCCTTGGCAGCAGCAAGCATGATGCTACCTTGCCCAGTGTACCAACAACAAATCCACGTCAGATTCTTTTGCGTTGAAGTTCTTCGAATTCCCAACGAATGCCAATGGTCAATGAAGCCATGGATGATTGGAAGGATGGCAGGCAGAGAAAATGAAGATTGATGTGTGTGCGTGTGTGCGGTGCGAGCTTGTCACTGTTTCTCTACACCCCTTGCAGGCACCTGCAGACGATTGCTACACGATGCCAGGGCAGGGTGTGCCAATATGATATTCATTGTAATTCTGCTTGGTGCTCATCAATCTCAGCTGCATTTGGCGCTAGCACCATCAGTTTGGATGCTGGGCTTCGCATTGGTTGACAACGACAAGTAGCCTCAGGATTGCTGCATACATTGCTAGGGTCAGACAAGCCTTACGTTGCTCCATGGTTCAACTAAGGAGGTACGAACCCCCAGAATATCGACACCTGCCGGTTCGCACTGGTCCCAACCCGGATGCGCAACTTACAGGCTGTTGCAAGCTTAGGGCATGAATTTGGATTTTTGACGTCCAGTTATGTAATCATAGCATGTCTGCATGGTTGTGAACTTGTTTGGACGTACTTTGCTCCCGTTGTCGCGGTGGATGTCAGTTTTCCTCCTGCAAGGCGAAGAGTTGAAGCCCGGAGAAATCTTCGGAGGAGTCGAGCAGGAGAAAGCACCATGACAAACAGAAAAGAAGCATATGTCTTTTGCCACATGCCTGCATACCTGCCGTGTAACCTTGAGAATTGGTCCAGGATTTCGATTCTTGGAAGTATATAGAGCTTGGAGATGGCCGAGGCGTTGGGAATGATGTTTTCAACTCCAATGAAGTCTTTTGTGCTTGCGGCTTCAGGTTGGGCATTGGCAATGTCACCTCAGCTTGGAACCTTATGTGTGCCGTACGGAGGCCGATGCCATGGTCAAGCCATGCTTGGCACTCTTCTTGAGCGAAACACAGCTCCATAAACAAAAAACACTGCTCACAGGACCGAACCATTTCACTTGCAACATAATATTGCGACCGTCAGACTTTAGTCAACTTTAGTCACGTCGTTGTGCCTTGTCCATTGTGATGCTGAATTCCAGGCGAAACTGTGTGGCGGTTCCAGCCACCACAGCACCGGCCCTTGGATTTGCGAGAAGCTCCGAAGCTAGACGCAGAACGCACAGGGCATCGATTGCTTCCAGGTCAAGTGTGCCCTTGTCAACAAAATTCAAGACCTCAACTGACCTCAACCTATCGTGACTGTCGAAAGAACCTGCCATCAACTCCATCCAACTCAAGATGGAACGCAAGTCGTCGATATTTTTTGAGGCCGTTTTCCACCGTTCACATCCATTCACCCGGTTTCACCCTGCCCTCGAAGAGCCGAGGTTCCATTGCCGCCACGAAGTCGTCAAGGATGCATGCAGATTTCTCGAGTTGGCATCTGGTGATGGCTGGGCTTATGACAAGGCAACGATAGGCAACGTGCACCGGCGAACGCCAAACTTCTTTCAGGGTTTTGAGTTGAGGCGCCGGCCGTTGGCATGTTGTGCCACCGCTGCCAGCACACGTTGTGGACGGCAAGTGTGAGCCAGAAGGCGTGGAGTAGTCGACGACGGATGGTCATGGTGGAAAAGACTAAACATCGAATTCGATCAAATTTAGACAAATTTGCATTCTTAGATCATTCAACTTTGTCAATGCTCACATTCCTTTCAGTGCAACAGTTTGGGTCACTTCACGCCACACCCAGTCTGACAACGCGGCCTGCAAGCAGGGAAGGCCACCAATTCCAGCAAGCTTACTCGATCCGCCGGTGCTGGCTGGTCAGCGTGAACTGGAGCGCTTTCCTGTCGAATCCTTGTGCCTGGGCTCGGAACTGATGCCTGGCAATAGTATGGAGTCTTCAGTTCAAACTGCTGGCATTTGGGGAGGAGAGAGGAGAGAGGAGAGAGAAGGAAGAGAGAGAGAGAGAGAGAGGAGAGAGAAGGAAGAGAGAGAGAGAGAGGGCAATGACGTGGCTGATAGTGGTTCTGAGACCTTCGCATGGAAATCATTTGGCAGCAACTTGAAGACATCCAGATATTTTGATGTGTTGCCTTAGTTACGTTCGACTAATTCTTCACGATTCGGAATTAACATTAAGGAGAGGCTACGTGTCCAGCATTACCCATGAAGGCCCGATTCACTGATGGCTGCAGGAGTCGCAGAGGCTTGTCGCATTACGTGGCATAATTCACACTTTGGATAAGGTGCCTTCATCGATGTGGGTGCAGAAGTTGAGGGCTGGGTGCATGTCTCCCTTCTGAGCGACGAGTACGTGAGAGATCCTTTCACATTCCTAACTGTCGGGGAGGAGGTGGGAGTTGGAGAATGACTACTTGCTAGTATATAGCTGCAATATGCTGCAAATAATCTATTGAAAGGCATATAATATTGACAGGTTAATTGTGTTCAGCAAGCCTTCCATTAAGCGTCATGCTTTCACAAAGTTTTTGCGAGGTGCAGACCATAGTGACATCGATAGTGAACACCGCTGTTGGAAACTTGGCCTCAAGTCGTCGCTGCCACCTTCCCGTGAAAATATCAGGCCTCTCCACAGCGCACAAAACACAACCAGACAATACCAAACACATCAAAAAGACGAAAAGCCTCTAACAGGTCGACATCCATCTAGTATAGGCACAAAGACGCTACTGGAGGCTCCTGGCATGGCTACTAGGAGCAAGGACGCTACTAGACGTTGATACGTGAATTCGTAGGCATCCTCACAAACGAATTCTTGCATCCAAAACGAGGCCCGCCACGGCCGTCCGTGCTTCCGAAAGCTACCGAACTGCCAGACTTGATAGCGTTTTGTGGGCCCATGAAACTGCAAAAATATGCAAAAATGCAACTGTAGAAACAGACCAGCATGAGATTTGGGATGATTTGGGTGTCGGGAAAGCATCGGCCAATCTTTTTCAAGAAGCAAGGTGACATGGATTTCACAGCAAGCAGGGCAGACTTTCAGCGTGCACAGCATGTGACATCATGGTCATGTGTTGCTTTCAACGGAGAGAATCTAAGCACCAGGCCACAAGCCATTGCCTAACACCTATTTCAAGCTCACACAACCAGAAATTCAGCACAAAGGTGGCGTCCTGGGTTTTTCTGCTCTCCTCTACCAAGGAAGCGCAAGCACCTCCGGCGTGGCACCGCTGCCTTCACGGCAGGCGTCGTACCTTGGCTAAGTAATTCCAGGTGAGCCAGCAGCCAGATTCAACAGTTCCACATGCAAGAAAAGCATGCTTTCATTAATTCAGATGTCCACCCTTGTTGGCTATACATGTAATTACTTAGACTCCTGCTGCATCGGGAATCTTAATGTCAGGAGCAGGCTATATTTGTCTATGGCACCCTCGAAAATGCGTTTGCGACCTCAACGGCCTGCTGACAAGGAAGTTGAGGCGATTGGCACTTAGCGGCAGGGACGTTGCATGCATTGACCCCTTGTGGATGGAAGGTCGGAGCACTTTACCACGGCATTGTGAGCTACGTGGCAGACACGAGTGCTCATGTCATACTAGGCGATGCTCAAGGTGGAGTGGGGCACGAAGGCTGGGCATGTTGAACAGAGTCTTTCAGAATTAAGATACAATATAGAGAAGTCCATTGGGGGAACGCGTGCAATTACGATGCCACTATACTATAATTACGCGAATTGACTCAGGTCCACTATGAATAAATACAAGCTGAATTATTTTTCCTTGGAGGCTACCTCCACATCTCGCAGATACCCGGCTACTTCCCTTCCGCTCGAGAGGCGCTCTTCGGCCTTCTGATTTAGACGATCATCAGTCAAATCTGCTCTCAAGCGGAGGGAGCTTCCCTGAAGAACCCAAGCATCCAGCCCCTAGTAGCTTCCAAAGTAGCTTCTTAATTAAGTAGCTTACATTTGTCACACAGGCGTGTTTCTTCATCTTCAATGTTCAAATTCAATTGACGTGCCATGGCAGGCTTTGAAGGTTGGGGAGAAGCTTAAGGTCCAGGTGCTCAAAGCAGGAGCCAGCGACGAGCAGACAACGTTTGGCACGTCTTTGCAAGGCAAGTTATTATGTACGTAGTTTAATGAGTTTGAGTGTTTGGTCATTTTTGGACCCCAAGACTCAGTATGTGTGGAGTATCTTCAACTTGTTTTTGCACAACCCGATTCGCAGGATCAGATGGGGAACCAATGTCACTCTCGGCTAAGCTGTGGGAAGAAGACGATGATAGGACCGCTGTGACAGATTCCAGTCACTGGAATCCAGTGGGATTCTATACGAGCGCGGTGATTTACTAAAAAAAGAGGACAATTTGACCGGACCATGAGATGGTCCTGCTTGCCTTGTGGCTCACAACTCGCGAGGTTAGCCGTTGGGTGATTGCGAGCGTGGGAAGTTCTTGGATATGGACAGGTGGCCTGAAGCCGTGCTTACCCGTCAGGAGCTCATCTTGGTTAGATGCAAAGGTCTACAATATCAAGCCCTTTGGTATTTTCATCGAGGCCTGACCTTTACCAGTCGCATTCGCAATGGCTCTTGGGACCAGATCTGATTTCCAGGTTTCTGCTAAAAATGGTGTTCGTCAAGGCTGGGGGAAGATATTGGCCACGAGCCTTATGTAAAGCATGACCCGGTCGGCCCAACAGGCGACAAAGTCAAACTGAACGATCCAGTCGGGTCAGTTGCAACGTCCAAGTCCAAGTCCATTATGCTAATGGGGCATCACATTGCGGACGAGGCATGGTGCACATCAGTCAGATTCGGGAGGCGGATAAAGAAGTCTTGATGTTTAGATTTTTTGTGGACGTCCGAACTGCAACGGTTGGCACGACTTGTCCACAATGCGAGCGGGGCGTATTGGCCACCAGGGCTTTGTCGAAGACATTTTCTCCGAGGCCTTCAGACAGAGCATGTTCACAGATCCGGGCATTGAGAGCTTGCAATGCCCTACCTGAGGTAGAGATCGGGGAGATTGTGCAGGTGAGGGTGCTCAGCAAAGAGCCCAATGGTCGTGCAGGGCTCTAAGCTGTAGTTTGTTCTAGCCCGTTGATCTTCAGATGTTTGATTTGTTGAATGTGCGCGACGTGATTGATCTTACCCGCGGTGGGGTTTTCATGCAGCTTTGTGCCATTGCAAATTGGTGTAAGGTGAAGTTTACTATGCTCCCCGAAGCGTGAGAAACGTGTTTGTTGCACTTTTGGAGCGATGACGATGCCCTTTTTTTTTGCTGTTGCAGCAGCTCCTCATCTCTATATTGAGGTTTTTTGTGTGGCCACAATACATCGCTCATTTCGGCCTGCATGTTTGGCTCCAAGAGACAAGTTCGGCTCACCTCAAAGCAAATGCTGGCCGAGAGCTGCCATTTCAAAAGATACACAGAAACAGCCCCTTACCAGTGTTGAGTTTAATTATTTAGTTTGAGAATAACAAGGGCACATGATACACAGCAGCAAAGCTCGGCTAGATGGAGCAAGATTATGCATAGACCATCACAGGAGTGCAGCCGTAGCAATGAGAGCGGCTGGACCAGATGGTTTGGCAGTTGCCGGGACGCTGGACTCTTGGAAGATCTTGATTGGCCAGTGGACACATGTGGACACGACCCGTGGGTGTATGATTAGGCCTCTGCCAGGGCATTGCACAAAACATAAGACTTGATGATGATGCTTGTGCTACTGCAGGCAGGCTCCAGGTCAAGTGGGTCATGCGATTGTCTTTACCTTGCAAAAGATGTCGGTTCCTTTGCGTTCAATTTCCCAATTAGTTTCCCACATCGTTTCATCTGTTTACATTTGTTATTTTTGCGTCGAAAGCCTCAGCTGCCGAAGGCATCTTAAAACTAAAAGAAAGAAGGCTTCTTAAAGCATCTTAAAACTATACGTTGGAGGTCATCGCTCTTAGGTTGGGGGCCATCGCTCTTAGGTTGG